AAAAAAACCAAAAAGAAGTCGAAGAGCACGGCAGTGCTCGTTAGTCAAAGCGCACCCATGTAAACAACACTCCCTTTGGCGCCGCCATCGCAACCTTGTCCCACGGGAAGCGAATGTCGTTGGCATGCACGATGTAGCCCACAAAGCCGGCCATCGCGACGCGGCCGTGCTTGATCTCCGACTCGCGCAGGAAGCCGATCGTCGCTGAGTTCGAGTCGCCCCAGAACTCGCCGTTAGAGAGGTTGAGCGGGTCCCAGTAGCCGACGACGGGGTTGAGCTGCGGGCATTGGGCCGGCGGCACCTCAGCAGGCGCGTCGCGTGGCCGCACAGGCCGCCGGGCGAGCGGTGGCGGCACGCTGGGTGGTCAAGTCACAGGCTGTCGCGCCTCCTTAGCAAAGCCCTCGAGGCCAGACTTGTCCATGAGCGCAGGCGCAGCGGCACGGACGGCGCCGCGCCCCGGGGCGGCGACGGGCGCGGTGATCGCGGCAGAGCCGGCGGAGAGGGCGACGGAGGCCGAGAGCTGCGAGGAGGGGGAGAGGCTGTGAGGAACGTGAGGGTGGGGACGAGCGTTCGAAGGAGCGGATCTCACCATTGGAGCAAATTTACGGTATCGAGATGCGCGAACAAAAAGAATTGAAGGCTCACTCACGCGTACAAAAAGAAATTAAGAGCGCGGTCAGCAGCTCACATCCAGGGCCAGGGGGCTAAGAAGTTGCGTTCTTTGCCGTTGTAAAATTCTTTTCCTCTTGCCGTCGCCCGCGCCTCGCCTGTCGCGTGAATCGTAAAAGAAAGAAAGAAAACACACAACCCAAACGAGGGATGGGGGAGGAGGACAGGGTCCCCACCTGCACGAGCAGGATTTTGGAAGGACGATCAGGGGGACAGGTGGGGCTCTCCTGCTCCTGACAAGGGACACGACAGGCTCGCAGCGCGGTGCGCGGTGGACTCCCACATCCACTGGCGGTCTCATCTCAGAACTCAGTCTAGCGACCTTCCTCCGGCTTCTCACCGGCAGTCTCTCACTACCACGGGCACACTGACACAGGGGTGGCAGGGGCGGCGGCATGAGTCTCCCACATGCTATGCGGGCCTCACTAGAGGTGCGGCCTGCGCGTGAATCGTAAAAGAAAGAAAGAAAGAACCGACAACCCAGGGGAGGGATGGGAGGACGGCACGCCGCCACCGCGTGAATCGTGTCGTGCGATTCCGCCGTTTAACTTGGAAAATTCTTTTCCTCGCGATGTCTGCCCCGCCGCGCCGCCGCTCGCGCCGCCTCGCCCCAGAGACCGAGAGGTAGAGAGAGAGAGAGAGAGAGAGAGAGAGAGAGAGAGAGAGAGAGAGAGAGAGAGAGAGAGAGAGAGAGAGAGAGAGAGAGAGAGAGAGAGAGAGACGACGACGACGAGGAGGAGGAGAGGGCTCCCGTGCCCAGAGCACCTGCAGCGCGCTGTAGCCGGGCGCCGCAAACGCGTCAGTCAGGAGCGCCGCGACGGCGGGGATGTCCTTCTCCGCCATCTCTCGCACCTGCCCACGCCTCAAGCTGTGAAGAGAGACGCGCCGTTCGAAAGTGCAGTCGACCTCGCGACATCTCTTGTGGTGTGCAACAAGAGCTGTATGTCTTGCGCGCCTCGACAGCGCCCGCCGCGTCGCACCTGACTCTCCATTACTGTTCGGATAATCACTCATTGCTGATTAGGAACGCCGACAGTGCCCGCCGCGTCGCACC